AGAGCATATGCAAGATGTTTTGCTCCACATGGGTGCCGAAACCCATTTGAGAGGAGGAGCGCTGTTGCAGGCGCAGAAGAAACTCAAGCGCGCGGGGTGGTTGTCCACCTCGGCCCCTGCTGTCCCCACAGCCAAAGAAGGGACGCTTGGGCATGGCGGGGTCTGGGTTCTCTCGAGGACCACCATCCACTCCCAGATCCTCTACCCCTGTAAGATCGGCCCAGATGGTAAAGAACAGTTTTTCGGCACGCAGTGGGTAGGCAGGACAGTCAGGTTTAAAGGACTGGATGTGACTTTTGTTTCAGCTTATTTGAATGATTCCGAGGGGGCTGTCGGCACCAACGGCCTTATCTTAGAAGAGCTAGCTGGATATTTACTCTCTGTGGCTAAGCACTACATAGTCATGGCGGACTGGAACATGACTCCTGAGGAGCTCTGGGAGTCTGGGTGGCCTTCATTTGTTCGGGGACACATCGCTGTACCACCTGGCGAATTTACAAATTCTGGAGGCACTGGAAGAATCCTGGACTTCGGAGTCGTCTCGGAACATCTAGCTTCCTTGGTCAAGCTTTCTCTGGATCAGAAGGGGCCCTGGGCGCCACATCTGGGAATTTTTGGCGAGTTGGACCTGACTCAGAACATCCTGGAAGGCCGCATCCTGGTACCTGTCACCCCAATCCTACCGTACGTATATGGACCCGACCAGCCCTGGGAGATGTTTCAGCAGCAGAATGACGGCATTGAGATGCCGCAGCATTATCATTTTTGGCCTGAGGCGACCTCAGGCGACATCACCAGGTTGTACGCGAGCTTCTCCATGCAGGCAGAGGCCTTTTTGCTGAATCGAGCGGGAAGAGAAGTAGGACCCCACAGGAGAGGTATGTGCCCTGAGGTCAAAGTTCAAAACCTGATCACTGCAAAACCGCCTGGACATTTTGGACGCTCTCCTGAAGTGTGTTTCTGGGGAGGTATTCGATCGAGGTTTCAGGAGCTGTTCACTTTGGCTGATAAGAGCACGAGCACTACTGTACAGAATCACCGCACGGCTATACACAAACAGATTGAAGCATGGAGTACCGAGGCACAGGTAGCACAGTACTTTACAGCTGTTCCAGAATCGGCTAGGAATGCAGGCGACAAGATCAGTGCCGCCTTGATATCGCCTCCCTCGACCAAGGAGGACATCCGCGAAGTTTTAAATGCAGCTAAAGAAGTTCTTGCTAAGGTCTCCATCGTGGCCATGAAAGAAAGTACAGCGGGATTTCGGAAGCTTCTTAGTACCAGCTTGTCCTCGGGAGCTAGTTGGGCCCATCAGTTTTCCAGGACGTGGCAGGTGGAGGAGCCAAGCCTAGCCATCGAGAAGGACGAAGGAGGAAATCAGGTAATTGAGCCAATTGAGATGATGAAGGTGAAGGCGGAAAGGTGGTCGAGACTTTGGGGAGGAACGATTGGAGGACCTAAGCAACCTTTTCCTTTTTGGCTTCAGCGCCTCCGTGAAGCCGCTCATGCGCAGCAGGAAGAGCGACCTTTGCCAGATCTCACGGTTGCAGACCTGCGGCATGGCATGCGATATTTTAAGGATCATGCGGGCCTTGGAGCTGACCCGTGGAACCCTAGACAGTGGCTCACGCTACCAGAGCAGGGCCAAGAGCAGTTGTTGGAATTTTTCGTTGCAGTGGAGACCCAACTGAAATGGCCAGTGCAAATATTGGTCAACGTCGTCGCCCTCACCCCGAAACCGCCGCCAGGAGGAGATCGACCGATTACGTTGACCCCAGGGCCCTATCGTTTATGGAGTGTGATGCGCAAGCAAGCAATTGTTACATGGGAACGTAGCAAAGCGGGTTTCTGGGATGCAGCGGTAAAAGGAAGCAGCCCTCTACGAGCAGCGGTTTTACGGCAACTGAAAGCAGAAACGTGTGGACTTTTGAATATTAGTTGGGTGCAGCTTCTGTGGGGCGCAGAGAAGTTTTATGATCTTATCCAGGGCGAACAACTGTCAGTCTTAGCGGGAAATCTGGATTACCCCCTTGTGCCCTTTTACCTTGCCATGTTGCAGCACATGGCAGATAGGTGGCTCGCGGTTGGCACTATGCTCTCAGACAGCATCCAGGTCAACCATTCGATTATTGCTGGTTGCATGCAAAGCGTAGCCTGGTCCAGAATTTATCTGTGGGACATGTTAGACAATATCCATCGAGCGTATCCCCCTCCTCGAAATTCCATCGGCAGCTGGGTCGACGACTTGGCGCAACTCAACATAGGCACGGCAGAAGGAGTAGTGGACCAGGCTACGCAAGTGGCCATTCAGCTCACGACGGGCATGTACAGCAAAGGATTGCGAATTTCAAAGAAGTCAGTTGGCCTGGCGAGTTCTCCGTCGGTGCGTGTGGCATTGCGGAAGCGTATTAAGGAGTTGCAGTTACCTATTAGAGTGGAGCTCTCGGCGCGTGATCTTGGAGTGGATGTAGCTACTGCTTCCAGGACGCAAGGGACCATCAAAGGTAGACACCAGAAGGGAGTCAAACGAGCTGTTGCTATTCGAGTCCTGGGCAAAAGCGTGAAGGCGGCCAAAAAGCTAGCCAACACTGGCTACAAGCCGCAGGTGTCCTGGGGAGCCGTTGCCATGGGCTTAGCGCCCACGAATCTGAGGAAGCTGTGGGCGAAAGTCTCAGCCATGTGCGGTAGTAAGTGGGCAGGTGGTTGTGCTACCACTGCCATTAGGATTAGTCTTGGGAAACGCAGTGACCCCCTTTTTTGGGGACCTCTTGAACTTTTGCAGGCCTGGCAGGAACATCTCCCTAGGATCCCCGAGTGGCGTGCCGCCATCGACAAAGCCTGGGACGAGTCCTTGGCCAAGCTGAGGGAGTCGGAGCATCGCTGGCTGCAGGTCAAGGGACACATGGCGGCTGTGCAAGCCACTCTGTTAGATATGAACTGGATTCCCAACACACCAGGGGAATGGACCATTCCATGTGGGCTCAGGTTTAGTTTTGAAGAAGCAGAGGGCCTCGACAGGCTCGGCTTTGAAGTAGGATCTTCCCTGGAACAGAGTATTTGGGCCCAAGCCAGCCAGCATTTCTCGGGCTCGGGGGTTGAGTACGGGGTGGACTTAACTGTGACTTGGGCCCATTTGAAGTTTTTGCGCAATAAAGGCTTAAGCCATAGGGCTGCCATTCTGGAGATGGTTTCCCAAGGGGCCTTGTGGCCCAACCAGCGGCGTTTCGAGAACACAGGAATAGGCAGCACGGCATGTCCTAGATGCGGCGCACCAAATGAAACGTTATATCATCAGCTTTGGGAATGCCCCTTCAATAGAGACATTCCCGATTTAGAAGAAGACAACCGCCTCTGCGAGCAAGCCAAGGTAGGGGCTGAAACCTACCCATGCTTCTGGCTCCGAGGCCTCGTTCCGATTTTGTGGACGATGCCGCCTGAGGACACCCCTCTCCCTATAGAAGATATTTGCAGAGAGGGAGAGTGGCCTGAGGATGGGCAGAGATATATACTCCCAGTAGGATGTGTAATAGGCGGTGACGGCTCGGGGGGAGAGCATGGGTCGGACCCTCGTTTGCGCCGTGTTGGTTGGGCCTTCGCCATTTGTCTGGGTGAGTCTGTCTTAGCCTCTTGCCGAGGGAGTACGGCAGGCTGGAGACAGACCGTTCCCCGAGCCGAGCTGCTAGCAGTTGTCAGAGCTCTCCAAGCCACAGCTGGGGATGCCACTTATGTAGTTGACGCGGCTTATGTTTTCCAAGGGGCCAAGCATGGCCCTGGGTATAAGTACAGAAGTAATGCAGATCTCTGGGCCGAATACTGGAAGGCGGTCGTGGACCGCCCTGGTACGTTGTCACTAGTCAAGGTCAAGAGTCACCTTGAACGCTCGGCGGTGGGTCCTGGTTTTCCTCTAGAACACTGGTTTGCCAATGATCAGGCCGACAAGTTGGCCGACAAAGCCGCGGAGGAAGCCAAACCCCCCTACAGTCTGGTAGGGAAAGTACAGGAGGCCGACAGGTTGGCCTGGCGTGTTCAAAAACGATTGAGTTTAGTTGCCCTGGAGGTTGCGAAGAATGCTAGAGATTTTTACGGAACCACTTTGAAAGGCGACATCCATGCTAGAGCTGTAGCCAAGGCAAAGGCCAAGGCTGAACAGACCCCTCAGCTCATGAGGGAATCTTCGCATCGAATCTTTCAAACCTCCAAGGGCTGGAAGTGTGCACATTGCCTAGTCACAGTGGGGAAGAGATCCCTGGAGGAGTTCTCGACCTCATCTTGCCCTGGGCGCCCGTCCGTGATTGATGACTCGCACCGGATCGAGAGCTTCCGAGGCCTTTGGTTTTGCCGCTTGTGCGGAGCACAGGGGGTAGAGAAATTCGTCCGACTCGCCAGGAAGTGTGATCGGCGCCTTTCGAAAGACGGTCGGGCCACCCTCAAGGCCATTGACCTTGGGAACCTCCCCAAAGGGGTGGAACGATGGCCTGATTCGACGTTTTGAGGAGAGGCCGCCTCCCCGACGTGTTCTAGCACATGACTGACACGGACGAGGACAAGGCGGGTCTCTATTTCTTCTAGAGGTGCCGAAGTGAACTTCGGTTGCGCCTCAGGCAGTAGCGCAGAAGAAAGAAGCGGAGGAGGAGGAGGAAGAGGACGAGGAGGAGGGGGAGGATGAAGAGGAGAAAGAAGAGGAGGAGGAGGATCACGAGGAAGAGGAGGAGAACGAGGAGGAGGAGGAGAACGAGGACGATGAGGAGAACGAGGCGGAGGAGGAGGAGACGGAGGAGGAGGAGGAGGAGGAGGCAGAGGAGGAGGAGAACAAGGAGGAGCAGGTGGAGGAGACGGAGGAGGAGGAGGAGACCGAGGAGGAGGAGGACGAGGAGAACGAGGAGGAGGAGGGGCAGGAGACGGAAGAGGAGGCCGAGAGCCCACGTCCGCCGAGGGTCCGCCGAGGGCCCCGCCCGCCGAGAGGCCCGCCCGCCGAGCGGCGCGCCGCCGAGGGCCACGGCCTCCGAGCAGCGCGCCGCCGCGTGCCCCCGCGCCCTCGGCCGAGAGGCGGCCGCTTCGGCGGCCAGGCCTCGCGTGGCAACGCGGGGCGGGGGGGGGCGCTCGGGCCACCTGGCGGGGGCGCTCGGGGCGCGCGCGGCGGAGCTGCGGAGGAGAGAGAGAGAGAGAGAGAGAGAGAGAGCGGGAGAGAAAGAGGTTCCGATACGGCAGGCGCGCCGTCGTCGCCCTCGTCGCCCTCGTCGTTCCCCTCGCCCTCGCCATCGTCGTCCCCCTCGTCCTCGCCCTCGTCCTCGCCCTCGTCGTCCCCCTCGTATTCGGTGTCCCCCTCGTCGTCGTCGTCGTCGTCGTCATCGTCGTCGCCCTCGTTCTCGTCGCCCTCGCCCTCGCAGGACATGATAATCCCACCAGCCCTCTGGGCGTCGGTGGTTTAGAGAGTTTCCTCTTCCACCCATCCTTCTTCCCCTTCGGGGAGGGGTTCACCCCTCCCCCTACCCCCTCCCCATGGACCTGGACAAAGGGGTTTCACGAGTCGCCGGAGCGTCCAAAACGGCCTTGGCGAGGAAGCCAACATCATTGATTTTACTAAGGTGTTGGCCCCATTTTGGCGTCTTGGAGGGGACGCTGATTTAACACCCCCCTCCCGTAGTTGATCTCCTCCAAGATGGCCCCAAGAAGCGCCCATGAGGCCCCAGGAGGTCCCAATATGGCCCCAAGATGGCCCCAAGGGGCCCCCAAGAGGCTCCCAGGAGGCCCCCAAGAGACCCCTAAGAGGCCCCAAGAGACCCCCCAGATGCACCCAAGATGCTCCAAGAGGATTCGACGAGAATGCCAAAACGGCCTCGGTGAGGAAGCCGAAATCATTGGTTTCACTACGGTTTTGACCCCATGTTGGCCTCCTGGGGGGGGGACGCTTATTCATGCTCCCCTCTTGTTTGATCGATCTCTTCCAAGATGGCCCCAAGAAGCGCCCAGGAGGCCCCAGGAGGTCCCAATATGGCCCCAAGATGGCCCCAAGAGGCTCCCAAGAGGCTCCCAGGAGGCCCCCAAGAGACCCCTAAGAGGCCCCAAGAGACCCCCCCGAGGCACCCAAGATGCTCCAAGAGGCCTCGGCGAGAATGCCAAATCATTGATTTCACGAAGGTCTCACCGAGGGTCTCTTTTCTGGAGGGCTGCATGCACCGCGGGTCGAGTAGCGAAAACTCCGCTTCAATGCAACACCTCCACCTGCTCCAGCACAAAGAAGGATCCTCTTCCACCTCCGCCTCCTCCTCCGCCGCCTCCTCCTCGGGAAACTAGGAAAATGGTGCCTCTTGGGGCCATGAATGCAGATAGCGGAAAGACGGAGAGGATGAAGATGATAATGCAGATGACGACGAAGATGACAATGGTGAACAGGAGGGGGAAAATGGCGGCGCCGCTGGGCTGGTGCCATCACGGAGGGTCTGCTGCAAGGACACGATGCCCTCACCGAGGGTCAAGTCAGTAGTAACTCCTCCGCCTCTGCCACCAACGCTGCCCACGACGCAGGAGCGCAACCGCCCCTCGAAGGCCGACCGAGTGGCCAGACAACACACATTCGAGTGTAAACAGCGGCGAGGCCAGGCACCAACATCGCGCCCCGGCCCCCCCAGCCCGGAGGCAGGAGAGCCCACAATCGAATCGAGAAGTCGAATCGGCGATCGACATGAATCGGATCCGCGGAAATCGGCAGCCGAGTCGGGAAACATAGGATCGGCGGACATCGGCAGACTAGTATGCCTCCAATGAGAGTTCGGAACCCAAGTCGGAATCCCAAGTCGGATCGAATCGGAATCCGAAGCTCGGGCCGGGCGAAAGGGGGGGATAGCAAAGGGAAGATTTGAGAATCAGCTCACGTAGCTGATTTTCCCGGCGCCTCCCGGCGCTGGAGGCGGCCATGTATCGAGGAATTGGCTCGGCGGTGGGGCCGAAACCAGCTGCATGCGGCAGATCTCGTGCCGCCCCCCTTTCCCTCTCCCCCCCTTTCGTCCGGCCCGAGTTAGGGGGGGCAGGAGGAGAGAACCGAACGGCGCTCGCGCGGAGGTCCGCACCGCTTTTCTCTCCAGTGCGCACACGCTGCAACCAGGACGTCAAGTCGATTGCAACCAGCTGGTTGGACTGAGCTCACATTGCCAACACAGGTGAGATCAATCTGAGCCGTCCGGCCAGACCCGCTTGCTGCCAGCAAAGGTGAGATCAATCTGCCTAAAGGTAAGATCAGCTTGCAAACAACAAAAAAGAGAGGAGGAGGCGGGGGCTGGGAGGTGAGGAGCGCGAGGGTGAAGTCGGAGGGAGGGCCGTACGCGTGTGCCCCCAGGAGCCGATGCGGCTGAGAAGCGTAATATCAGAAAGCAACACACGACGGGGAGAGCGGGGGCAGTGCAGGGTCCATGTCCGCCATCGCGTCCTGTGGCGCGCGGGAGGGTGCCCTCAAGCACCTGATGCCCCAGAACACTGGAGCATCATCGTGCTGAGATTAGTATCGAATGCTTCATTCGAGAGCACTCTCATTTTCCATGTGTCCAGGGCGTGTTCGCGGGCTCTCGGGGTTGGGAGCCCAAACCGTCTGTAAGATGTCCCGAAGATTGTCACGCGGGCCCGTCTGGGGGCGCTCTTGGGGACCCCGTGGGCCGTGTGTGTGGGGGTGGGGGCAGGCCCAACAGGCCAACATCGGGGGAACACCTCTGGCTATGCACAAGTGTGCAACTCTTGCCTTCTCGGTATCAAGAAATTGCAGAAAGCCCCAAAAACGCCAAAGAAATTCCCAAGACGGTCCACCAGACCGTAGAGGGGGAACCAACATGACCCCGAGACAGCCACCAAAAAAGGCCAAATGGACCGTGAACTGACGCCACCAGGTTGAGAGAACCCACCTTGCCCATCCCCAGAAGATAACCCCAAAACCTCAAACAGGCCCTCCCCCAGGAGCCCCGAAGAGGCCCCCAAGAGCCCGCCAAGAAGCCATGGCAGACCTCGAGACAAAACACATCCGAATACCTATGTCGGATCGATCGCTGCACAAGGTAACTGGCAAAGAAGCCATCTCCTGAAAAAACACCATCCCGTCAAGAAACTCCCTAATTAACCATGTCCCTGGAACCCTCCGCAGAAGCCTCCTTGGAACACATATTGGGACCTAACCTTGTTAGGTCTCTATCGTGTTAACTGCGACTGGACCCGTCGTCCGCACACGGAGTTGGTATGCACCGATGACAGCTGCGCCCACGCTGTTGCATTGTGACTGAAGCAGACCCGCAACACAAGAGACTCTTCATCAACAACCTCAATTATGTAAATATCGCGCGGGTGTGGAATCATGTTGTATGGTGCAGCCCGTTGCAAGCTGAAATGAAACCCCATGCAACTTGCAACTTTGACAAGACAGCAAATTCGTTCAACACGATGCGCGCACGTCCCTCCACGCCCCCACGCCCACCCCTGGTCCCAACGTCCAGTTCCCCCCCCACTGCAATCATAGACAAAAACAAATGGGCTCCCTGACCATCGGCCCTGCTGACCAAGCTCAGGCAAATCGCAAACCAAACCGGCGACGACAGAATCAACATGAGGCTGCGTGCTGCGCGTATCAGGTATCATGTCGACGACTGTCGCCAATCTGGGATTTCGTCCACAAGCTCCGCCCACGTGTTTTCGCATCTGCTGTTTGTGAGGGCTTAACGACTTCCGCTGCCCCTCGGATGGCGCTGGAAATCTAACGATTTTACCAGATCTACCGTCAACCTGTAAGACAAGGACGCGCGATAAGGATGCAAGGGCCTTGGAAGGCCATGTGGACACTTTGCGAGCGGGGCGGGGCCAGCGAAAGCGGCCAAGGATGGACCAAGGAAGCAAGGGTGCAGGGATACCCTTGGAAAGGTTGCCCGTGCGGGTTGACTGTACTTGACTTGTTCCTCGCAAGTCGACTGTCGTCAAGCCCTCAGGGGTGCTAGGGCGATCCCATTTCCGAGCGGGTGCCAGTTTCTTGACAAATGCGGACCGCCGCCTGAACCCGCAATTTCTGGCCGGGCTGCTGTTGTAAAAAACCGGGCGGCTGCGTTTTCAGCGCGATGACTGCTGGCACCTCTGGGCGACGGTGCTGCATCATGCGGCACATCGAATCACGTCCTTTCTCCACGTCGTCCCACGCATGGTCCTGGCCGAATTAGCGAATTGTCTTGCTGCGATCGCCACTAGGGAAGCATAGGCTCCTGGTGCCAGTGCTACCACCCGATGGGTAGTCGGCGTGAAAGGCAGCTTGGCGGTGTCGAAAGCATTCAGTCCACTTTGACTGATATGCCACCTGGTGCAGCAGTGACAAAACGAATGAGAGTGCAACAACTTGCGCGGTGAAAATCTTCCGTTGCGCGGCAACCTGTTGTGCGCAGGGAGTGCGGCCAGAAGTTTCCGCATGGCCAGCGCCTCGTATTCCTGTGTTAACCTGGTGCCCTGCAAAACGCGCTCTACTGCTCGATCCCATCCTCCCCACTCCTGCCCTGCCCCCCCCCTTCCCCTTTCGTCGCATGAGGCGCATGTGCGCCCGTGCGGGCGCCTGAGGTGGCAGCGCGAAGCCCGCGCGCGTGAACGAGCGCGTGCGTCTCGCACGCGCGCGGGCAAGCTCAGGACGCAGACAGACATCCGAAAATACACGATCACGCGAGATAGTTGGTGCGTTCGCATGGGCTCGGACCGCCAGTGCGGAACGGATCCCCCCCCACGTTCAACTCCATCCTGGGGGGGTTCGAACCGGCGGCACCGCCGGTGCGAGCCGGCACGAACCCTCCCGGTAAGCACGAACCCCCCCGGCAGCCAGCACAAACCCCCCTGGTAAGCACGAATCTCCCCAACATGCACGAACCCCCGGGACGTGCCAGAACAAGGCGGCACCGCTCTTCCGTACACGGCTGTTCCGTCGACCCCTCCCAGGAGGCTCGGAACGTCGTCCAGGGCAGGTGGCCCACCCGGTAGTTGCAGCTGCCTCCTGTTGCCACGTGCCCAGCAATGTCGACAACAGCGCTGCCATTTCCTTCTCCTCCTCCTCCTTTTCTCCTCCTCCTTTTTCTCCTCCTCCTACCCCCGCCCAACCCCCACCCCCCACTCCCACCCCCCCACTCCCACAAAGGGGGGGGGTCCAGGTCGAACCCCCCCCCCAATGCGGCCTGCGCGAAACCCCACGGTAAAGGGACAGGGGGCGGCTCTGAACCGTCGGCGGCACCCGGTGCGGCCTGCACGAAACCCCCCGGTAGTACCGGTGGGGGGGTCGTGCCACGCGGGGCACCGCCGACATGTATACTTTCGGCGATATGCAGATCTGTGCGCTGTCAAGGGGCGCGCTGTCAGCCCTGCTGCGCCTCCGCCCTCCTCGTCATGTTCCAGTGAATTGCTCCTCGTCGTCCACCTCCTTCGGATATTTTTTTTTCTGGCCTCCTCCAGGAGATCACCCCTTGAGGAGCTCCTCCTTGTCACTCATCAACAGCTCACCACTGACTCCATTGTGCTCAGAATGCTCCTTCTCCTGAACCCCCTTGTCCGCATCCTTCTGCTGCCCCTGCTCATCCTCCGCCAATCCTACTAGATGCCTCCTAGATGGGGTCGAAGTAAATGGGGTCGGAGGATCGCGCCGCATCGCCGATAAATCGGCGATGCATCGGCGATGTATCGGCGATGCACTGGCGATGCATCGTCGACGTCGGCGATGTATCGGCGACGTCGGCATGGGGAAACACGGTCTCCTCATCGAGCCGCATCGGCGATACGTCGGCGATGCGGCGCGATCCCTCGACTCCATCTACGCGGACCCCATCTTAGGCCGCATCCTTCTCCTGCAGCTGCTCATCCTCCGCCAATCTACCTACAGATCCCCCTGTCCTCTCAGAACGGGTGGCGCAGGGCAGGAGGAGGAGGAGGAGGACGAAGAGGACAAGGAGGAGGAGGAGGAGGAGGAGGAGGAGGAGGAGGAGTGGCAAGAGAAGGAGGAGGAGGAGGAGCAAGAGGACGACGAGGAGGAGCACGAGGAGGAGGACGAGGAGAGGAGCAGGAGGAGGAGGAGGAGGAGGAGGAGGAGGAGGAGGAGGAGGGGGAGGAGGAGGAGCGGAAAACTGTGGCGAAAACTCTGCTCGGCTGCCCGCCCGCGGCGGGTGCCCTGGGCCACGACGGAACCTCTGTGCGCAGCCCGCCTGGAGGCCGCGGCAACGGCCAACCAGGGGGCGCGCAGGCGACGCTGTGGCGGGGGGCGACGCCTTGCAGGCCTTGGGCCTCGCGGCGCCGCCGGGGCATAAACGCGCAAAGGCGACTCTGGGGCACAAGCGCGTGGGGTTTGATGGCGGCGCGCACACGTGAAGGGGGGACGGGCTGCAGGACACGTGAAGGAACGGAGCTCTCATAGCCTGCATAAAAATCTCTCACCGTCACGCCCAGCGCGTTTAGGCGTGGTAGACTGCTAAGTGCTGCCTGGAAGAGTTGCCGTAAGTCGTCTAAGCCCCCTCTCACGACACACTTCGCTGGAGCTCTCCAAGGTATCCCACGGCTTCCAAGAAGGCCCAGGACGGCCAACAAGGCCACCAAGATGATCCAGCCTTGCCTCAAGAGGCACCTAATAAATACCTCTACCCCTAACAAATACCTAAACCCCCTACTGCCGCGGACCTCTCTTGGGGTGCGTTCGGATCAGGATTTCGATGCAAGTCCATTCGTGGCGACAATGGGAAGGCCAATGGTACTGATAGCAAGAAGTGGGCAGACACACGACGCATGAAAGCATTGAAAGCACGTGAGACCTCTGCCAACCCTGAAATGATAGGATGCTCCGCGCGAAACGCATCCGTGCCACCGCGTCATTATCCGCAGGGTCGCGCCCGGGAACCCAGACCGCGAGAGCGTGAAGACTACGGATATATTGAGGGGGCACTGGGACACCCAAAGAAATAGGCATTACACCAAAAAAAACCTAATCAATGGATGGCTTTCGCTGAAGAAATCGACCGGGAACCCGGGAGCACGGGAACACAGAACCCACCGAAATCGGCCCAGAACCAAAAACCGGGAACCCGGGAACCCGGAACCGGAAACCCGGAAACCAAGCCTGCCACCAACTTCGGCGGGAAACTGTCGCCCAATCTTGCAACTTCCGCTAGAGCCCCTGCAGTGAACGGGCGAAGAACGGTATCAAATAAACCTGTTCGCTGTCGGGGGTAAGGGTTCCACATGTGTTTTTTCAATGTTTCCCGACCCCCCCCCACTGGAAATCGAGGGTAAATCTGAGCCTTCGGGTTGGGTTGGGGTGGTTTGGTGGGTGGTGAGATGGAGGCACAACTCCCAAGGAGTCCCTCCCCCCCCCCTCGACGCCGAGGCCGGCGCCAGCAGGGCTGCCGCCGCCCTGGGTTCCCCCCATGTCGGCGCCGCGTGCGCCCATGGGGGGGGGGGGGGGCGTCGACTGATCTCTCGGCTTCACCTCGAGAGGAAGTGTCAGGGGGGCGTAAGTAGGGGGCAAACAAACCTACCTCGCTTTTGACCACCCTCGCTTCCAAGAGATACCAAGCGATGCCAAACTACGGCCTGTACTGGTCAGGCCGCTTGACGAGGAGGCGCGTGGTATGCCTTGGTTTTGCCTGGAAGCGAAAGCGGGGTAGGCAATTCACGCTTTGAGTAAGACCCGGGTACAGGGGACTCGGAAATCCACGACGAGGTCGTCAACAAAAATGACGAGGCCGAGCCTGCATTTTGACGAGGCCTCCCGCTGCAGACATCCCACGAAACGCCTGCTCGTCAAAATCCGAATCGCGGTCGTCCAAAAACGATGGCGAACCCGAGTCTTGGCAAACCCGGGTCTTACGCTCCCCCGAAAGGGGGGTGGCGGGCGTGGGATGGGATCCCAAAGACCTGGTAGGGAAACGAACTCATACACCGACGTTTCTTGCGACCCTGCGCTGAAATTCGCACAGGAACGCGGATCTTGGTGTATACGGGATCACGGTGCATACATTTTTCGTTGCTTCCCTTGGAAAACAGGGGAAAAGTATACACCACACCACCCCGACGTCGTCCCCGACCCTCAAAGAAGTCCTGGGATTGAAAAACCGCCCGGCACTGGTAATGTATATGCTCCAGTTTCCGACCCGGCGCTCCGAGCATGCTGGAGCAGTCGGTGTTTGGCTTTTGCCCCTGAAGACCGCGAGGGTATGGATACGGATATGATCGTCGCTTGCAAAGGCTGCTAGACGAAGCACACACGCTATCCGCCGGCCCCCTTGCGGGGCCATCAGGCTGCGAGGCTTAAGGTTGCTGCTCCCTGTGCCAGTTACAGTTTCCAGTTCCCATTGTTACATTACTGCTTTCTGCTTCCTACTGTAATTTGTTACTGTCCGCGCGAGGGGGGGGGAGCCGAAAACCACCCTGGTTAGCGTCCCCCGGGAGGGTTCTCAGAATTTCTGGGGGGGCGTGGGACACGTAAAAATACAATAGTTTCGTGCCCCTGAAGCCAGAATCCCTCGCAAATTATATTGTATTCGCGCCCCCGAGGCCACGATCCCATGTAAATTACACCACATTCGTGTCTCCAAGGCCACGATCCCTAGTAATTTACTCCACATTTGCGTATCCGAGGCCACGATCCTTTGTAAGTTACTCAACATTCGCGCCCTCGAGGCCACGATCCCCCGTAATGTACGCCACATTCGCGCCCCCGAAGCCACGATCCCACGTAATTCATATAATTTTCACGCCCCCGAGGCCACGATCCCTTATAAATTACGACAACTTCGCGTCCCTGACGCTATGATCCCTCGTAAATTACGCAGCGGGCGCGCCCCCGAGGCCACGAATCCGCCTTGCAGAGACTGCCGAAAAGGCTCCCCCTCTCCAAAGCAGAAAAACGACAATTTCTGGAAAATTCGGCTGTGGGCTCCACATTCACCCCCCCAGGCCACGATCCCTCGTAAGTTACGCCACATTCGCGCCACAGAGACAACGATCCCTCGTAAATTACACCGCTGTCGCGCCCCCCAGGCCACGATCCCTTGTAAATTACGCCAAGTTCGCGTCCCCGAGGCCACGATCCCCTGCAAATTACACCAAATTCGCGAAGCACCCCCCACGCTACGAATCCACCTCGCGGAAGCTGCCCAAAGGCGCCACTCCTTCTCCAGAGCAGAAAAAAAACCTTCCCAGAGATTGCCTGAAGCAATCCCCAGCCGTTCCCAGAGCGCTTCCAGTGAACAACTGGAGGAAAATGCCAAGAAGGCAACACAGCGTTCAAAAACAACTTCAACATCTCAATCTGTTTTGCTCATCGCCAGCCGCCCTAGCATGACGTTCCCGAATGTCATCAAGACGGCGCCCATACATCCCAATATAGCTCTGATGTATCCCATTCTGATAGAGAGGGGGCCGGCGGCAGGGGGCGAAGCCCTTAGGATAAACATAAACTTTTGGCGATCCGCGCGGATTTCTTGGATCCGCGCTGGACCCCCTTCCCTGGCGCACGGAGCGCGCTAGGGGCGCCGCCGGGGGGGGGGGGGCGCCAAAAGTTTCTGTTCATGGCGTTTTTTCTGCGTCGAACGCGGGCTGCTCTCCCCCATGGGCGCGGCAGCCGCGGAGCTGCCCGGCGCGGATCCAAGAAACCCGCGCGGGGCGCCAAAAGTTTTCGTCTCTTCGAGCTGCTCGGCCCCCCGCCCCCCGCCGCGCGCCGCCGAGGTATATATCGGGTCGGGCGAAAGGGGGGGATAGCAAAGGGGAGGTTTGAGGCTCAGCTCCCGTATATAGCTGATTCTCCCCGCGCCTCCCGGCGCCGGAGAGGCGGCCATCGAGGAAGGGGCCCCTCGGTGAGGCCGAAACCAGCTGCATGCAGCGCAAATTTCGTAACCCCCCCTTTCCCAGTCCCCCCCTTTCGCCCTGCCCGAGACTGGGAGTGGAAATCGGGGCCCCCGGCCGAGGAATTCAGGGAACAACCTCCTCCTCCTACCTCCTCCCCTACCTCCTTCCTCCCTGCCTCCTCCTCCTCCTTCCTCCTCCCCCTCCTCCTCCTCCTCCTTCTCCTCCTCCTCCTCCCCCTCCCCCTCCTCCTCCTCCCCGTCCTCCTCCTCCTCCTCCCCCTCCTCCTCCTCCTCCTCCTCCTCCTCCTCCGATGAAGAGCAGAAGGAGGATGAGGAGCAGAAGGAGGAGGAGGAGAAGGAGGAGGAGGAGGAGAAGGAGGAGGAGGAGGAAGGAGGAGGAGGAGGAGGTGGAGATGGAGATGGAGGAGGAGGAGGTGGAGATGGAGCGCAAATTTCCCAATCCCCCCCCCTTTCGCCCGGCCCGAATATCTATTGGCCCGCGCGGGCCCCCAGCCGGCACCCATGCTCGGCCCGCCGGGGCATCGCCCAGTGGACCTCGGCGGGCGGCGCGCGCGCCCAGAGGCCCCTGCGGCCGCCAGCGGCCCTGGAGCTAGCTCGGGAGCGGCAAAGATGGGGGCGTCAAAGAGGGGGGGGTGCAAATAATGACCGGCGGCATGTGCGCGGCCCGACGGGGGGGCCAGGGACGTAATGAAATAAGAAGAGGCGCCATGAACTCTGGGGGGAGCTATTGGTAGTCCCCAAACGTGGTGGTGACAACACCTGGCGGTGTTGGGCGCCCGAATGATCCGGGGTAACTCGGGTCCGGGGTAACTCGGGTTCGGAATCCCGTAAAACGAACCCGAGTTAGCCCTGACCCGAGTTATCCCTGATGATTTTGGGGCTCTGGACGCCCGAATTATCCGGGGTAACTCGGGTCCGGGGTAACTCGGGTTCGGATTCCCGAAAAGCGAACCCGAGTTAGCCCTGACCCGAGTTACCCCTGATGATTCGGGGCTCTGACGGTGAGTCTCGGGCGATTTGGTGTCACCACCTGGTTTGGGGGCTCGTGCGGTTTTCCGAGGATGCCCCGGACACTAGTGGGTCCAGGAGTCACGAAACCCGGTGGTGTCCCCAAACCCAGCGGTGACCTTTTTGGGGATTCCAGGTCGCCACCTGGTATCTCACCACCCGGTTTGGGGGTCCCCAAAGCTAGCGGCGGGCAGGACTGCAACCGGGGCCCGACCACAAGAGACCTACCCGCGAGAGGCTCAACCCTGAGAGCCCAGGGCGTCCCTTGATGTTTGGCGCGGGAGCGCCGCGCTTGCCATCGCAAAACCATCGAAGCCCAAGAAACCCAGGGCACCCTGGAGGCGAGCAGGGTGGTTCTTGGCATGGGCCTCCACTGTACTACCCCAATCCCTACAGAGGGGGGGAAGCTGGCACTAGGGGGGGGGGGGGACGCAGCGACCTGGAATCGGCGATACGTCGACGACAGATCGGCGATGTGCCCCCGATGGTGCATCCTCATGCTAAGACACTGCCGAGGGCGTAACGCTATCCACACATGATACAGAAGGGGCCCAACCACAAGAAACCTTCCACGAGAAACCCAACCCTGAGACCCCAGGACGTCCCTTGACTTTGGGTGTCGGAACGCCGCGCTCTCCATCGCAGAACCATCAAAATCCCAAGACACCCAGGCCACCCTGGAGGCAAGCGGGGTGTTTCTTGCCATGGGTCTCTGCTGTATGAATCGCATGCTTGCCCCCACGCCACGCGGGCTTCGGCCGCGGTGGGCGTGCAGCCCAGCGCCAGCAAATCGGGACTGTTGGGCCCCTTCCGGCGATCACTGGGCGAATTGGGGGTCGATGCGTCCCCCCCGATGTTGAGCACGGACCGACCGTCCCGGCATTCCTGTAGGCATACCACGAGAGATCTTAGAACCCACAGATGTTCCAAAAACAGGAGCACTGTTCTTAGAACAGAGAGCCGATGTGTTGAGACAAGACGGTCCCAGCAAGAAATGCTGTAAGAACACTTCGTGTAGAACACAAAAGAGGGTTAGAACAGTATTTGGTGGGCCTATCGGCGAGCCAGGACGCTCCGCCACTGCTTGACCCTTCTCGTGGCCCCTGCCCGTTTAGGGGGGTCGTCGTCGTCGTCGTCGTCGTCGTCGTCGTCTTCGTCGTCGTCGGCGTCGGCGTAGTCGTTGTCGTCGTCGTCCTCGTTGTCGTCGCTGCCGTCGTCGTCGTCGTCGTCGTCGTTGTCGTCCTCCTCGTCGTCCTCCTCGTCGTCCTCGTCGTCGTCCTCGTCGTCGTCCTCGTCCTCCTCGCCGTCGTCTGCCCCAGCCGCTGCCCTTTGAGTCCCTCCGCCCCTCGACGCCGAGGCCCGCGCCGGCTAAGTCGCCGCCCTGCTGTGCCCCCAGGCCGGCGCGGGGCGTGCGTCCGCGGGAAGGGAGGGCGTCGGCTACTCGCTCGGCTTCACCTGGGACGCACAGGGCGGGGCGCCACGGGGCCTCCTCCTCGTCCTCCTCGCGCTCCTGCCTCTCCCCCCTCCCCCTCCTCCTCCTCCTCCTCCTCCTCCTCCTCCTCCTCCTCCTCCTCCTCCTCCTCCTCCTTCCCGCATGCTCCTTCTCGTAGTCGTCGCTCTCCCTGTGGCTCTCATCCAGGTCCTCCTTCCACGGATCCGGCACGTGGAGCGCCCTTACAAGAATTCCTCTTCAACGTGGTCACCCGAACGGGCTTCACTGGCAGGACTTGCAGGGTCGGCGGATGCGGCGTGAACCAACATAATGTCTTAGCTTCACCAGGGGAGGAAAGGGGGGCGGGCATGGGATGAGTACAGGAGACCAGTCGCGAGACGACTCTATGGCATCGTGCCTTTGGCACGGAGTGGAGTGCCCCAAGGCGCACAACTACGCTGCTGCTGCTGCCATGACTGAGGTCCCCCAAGGGCCCAAAACTCCGTGCTGGGCCACCCGAGGTTACCCCCGTGAATCTTGCGTATTTCCTGCCCGTTCATCTGGACGCTGAGTCCGCCCAAAACGACCTCCCGAACCCTCCGATGTGTCCAAGAGGTTTCCGACTAGACGAAAAATCGCTTCAAGACGTTCAGAATGGCCTCCAGACCGCCAAAGAGGCCGCCAAGACAGCCAGGGATGCCTCCAAGTTCACTCCCAAGAGGGCCCAACGAGGTACGGTTTGTCTCCACATCCACGGTTGTGCACCCCGCACAGGATCTGTCTTGACATCCTCTTATCGTCGCCGCAACCTTCACCATCATCATCACCGTCAGCATCAGCACCGCGAAGTCAGCATAACCATCACCATCACACGCATCGTCTGCAACACGATATGCAAATCATCATCATCAACAGCGTCATCATCATCAGCAGCATCATCATCAGCATCATCACCACCACCATCATCATTTTCCACGGTCACCACATTCACTATCGTCCTCATGAACATCAATGCGGTCACACCATCACTATGGCCACCATCCGTTGCAAGAGCCATCCTCACTCTGCCTCTGACGTCATGACCGCCATCATCAGCACAACCACCATTGCCACTGGCATGCTCACCGTTGCTGCAGCCTTCCGGAGAAGCCCAGATCCCGTCCAGCCACCTCCTCCTCCTTAACACGACGCGGAGATCGGGACAAAATCGGATCGGGATGACTCGAAATCTCTGAGAGTCGGCGGGTTTGGAGGATGTATTGGGCGCCGCGGGCGCTCCAAAGCGTTCCGGAACGCTCTGACAGCGCTCCGGAA